CAGGGAATTCAAGGATGCAACGATCAATCTTCATAAAATTGCCCACGGAAACCAAAAGGAAATCGAGGCGGCGGCGAGACTTGAAGCGAAAAACAGGACAAGAAGGAGGGTGCTCCTTCCTTGCCGTTGGAATGACAAGCACGCAGATTGGGAGGTGGCAATTCATCGCTCTCTTCAACTCATCACTGCGGAGGTTAGCGCCTGTTCACGCAAAACTCTGCAGGAAAGGATTGCTGACGCCATCCCCACAAGGGCCTACGTGTTGCGAGACAGGAAAGAAATGGAATGGGAAGGACAAGACACCGGCGGGAAGGAAGCAAAGGTGGACTTTAGACCAATTCTGATGCACTTAAGCGACACGGCAATCTTGAAGGAAGACCTCATATGGATGTCATGGCGGGTAGTGGAAACGATTCCCTATGGCCTACTAGGGGGGGATGTGGTACCGGAATGGGCAGCAAGAAGCGCAGCCATAGCACTGGAATTGGACGCATTTGCATGGAAGCCGAAGTACTTGGAGAAGAGGATCGAACCAAAGGCAACTAGGATAGATTTGGCGCCTCATGGCTCCTGAGCTAGTATAGGGATGCTAAAGGGCAGTAGAAGTGGATTAACCTCTGATGGAGCAACGGGCAGAAGAGAGGCAAGTGAAGAAGTTCAGGACACAATAGGTAAGAAACCGCACTCGCAACTAAGAATCATGCCATGGAATGTGAATGGGCTGGCACAAGCTTTGGACAATCAAGACAAGTGGGGAAACATCACAAAGCATACACGGTGGTTCGAAGCAGATGCCCCCAACTTCAAGAAACACACCTAACACGAACTCCGAAGCATCAACAGACATAGAGCAGCAGGCACCTCATTCTAGTAGGGGATTGGAACGCCGCTATGGACCCCAGTATAGACCGCATGACAGGAACAGGTAGACAACGGGAAGGGGGGGCAGGAGAGGAGGCATGACAATACATAACATGATGGTGGGTAGAGAACTGATAGACCCGTATAGACTGTATTTTCCGAAGGAGAAACAGTTCACCTACTATAAGAGAAATCGTAGCCAGCACGTGTCGGCCTCCCACATAGATTACTTCCTAATTTCCCTGGGTCTAACAGGAATGATTCATAAAGTAGGGATAGGGGACCTGCCTTACGCGACTGGATTAGACCACAAGCCCATATTCCTACACATAATCACTGACAAGCAGGTCGAGCAGGGGAGGAGTTTCTTTAAGATAAATAATTCACTATTCCAAACTCCAGACATGAGACAAGCGATAGCAGAAACCTGCATGAAGCACAGACCTGAGGAACGAAGCAGCGAAGAGATCGAGCTAGGTGAGTGGGAGAGATGGAATGCGAGGACTGCAATTGAGGGCTAGGGTTAGGGAATGGGAAGAGGGAGAACGAATGACCAAGTACTTCTTCCATAAAATCAAGACCAACGGGAGGAACGCCCTCATAGAGCAACTGCAAGGGTATCAAGGTATCACATCAACAGCAGAGGGAATGGTGGAAGTAGCACACGATTTTTACAAAAACTTGTATACCTCAAGAGAGTTTGAGCACCCTCCACAACAAGTAGCTAACGCAAGGGAAAAATTATTAAGCTACCTAGAACCAACAGTCCCCAGCACACAGGAAGCAATGTTAGACGCCCCACTATCACTGGTAGAGTTAGAAGAAGCCCTTAAGTCCATGGCTCCTAACAAGACACCGGGTAAGGATGGTCTGACTAGGGAGTTTTGGTTGGAGTTTTGGTCGATCCTAGGGGAAGAATACGAAGCATTCCTAGAAGAGGCATGGCAGGAAGAGGGTTTGGGGCAGGACCCATCTACAGGAATAGTTACACTCCTCTATAAAAAAGGAGATCTGAAGGACATACGAAACTATGGACCGATAACTCTTCTAATCTTGACGCACAAGATAGTGGCTAAAGCATTAGCTTACAGGCTCAGACGAGTGACCGTAGGATGCTTCTGTTTGGATCAAACTGGCTTCATACCTGGAAGATTTATCTTGGACAAGACCGGTTTTGTTTTAAAATGAAATCCATTGGGAATATCTGTAGGCACGTGAAAATGATCGTACAGTACGAATAGGGAGATGTATCTGCGGCTGATATGCATATCTTGACGAGAGGCAAGGAGTTAGGCCTCTTTTCGATAGAGCACACCTTCCTGACGAGTCTGCATAGTTGGCGGATGAAACTGGCGTAAGGATTTGCTCTATCATTTTCTTTGGGAGAATCTGCCATAGTGGCGCGAGGGGTCGTAACATGTGTGAAGCATGATCATTTTTGACAGCATCTTTAAGCTTTAACTCAATGAGACTACTACTCATGTTTCGCATGTCACTGGTGTTTCTTTGGGTTTGTTCAACAACGTTCTGCAACGTGCTTCTGAGTATGCACGTAAGACTTCCACACTGTTGTTTCTCTCCCGACAAGTTGATGCCACAGTCTGCCACTGTGCCACTGAGTGCATGCTTCCACCTCCATCATAACATATATGTCTATCATCAAACAAAACTGCCCGGTAAGCCGTAGGCAGAGAGATAGAAGAAGGCAACAAACAAGGGGCTATGACAAACTTTTTCGTCAGAGTTTCACCGACTCATCAGGAGGCTGAAGTTGTCGCCGAACCCTTATATATATATATATATATATTATATATGTATATATATATGTATATATATGTATCGTCACAAACAGAACTGCCCGGTAAACCGTAGGCAGAGAGAGAGAAGAGGACAACAAACGAGGGGTTGACTGTTTCGTCGGAGTTTCACCGACTCATCAGGAGCCTGAACCCTCAACAGTCTGCAGAATCCCCTCACTGATTACACTGTAAATGATAATCTACCTTAACCAAAATCAAAGTAGACTATCACTCACCCACACCAGATGAAAAACTCTACAGACTGTCGGTTCACACCCCATTACAAGCCAGCAAAACATCCACGAAACAAAGAAAGGTCTGTCACAGCCAAAAAATACACTCCAGACACGCCGCTGGCATATATATCGTCACAAACAGAACTGC